AATTTGAATTAATCAAAAGCAAAAGATCAAGCAAAAGCTTTAAACAGCTGCTACAGTACAGTAACAGAATTTCACAGCTAAAACAACATTATTTCACAAAATATGCATATAAAAATGCACGTTTACTTTAAAAAGGGAAATACCCAAAAGAAAGGGAAATACCGAACCACATTGCATCTACTTGATAACACAAAAAAAGTAAATCATCACTGCTCACTAGGAAGCAGGGCAATAAAGTTATTAATACCTTATTGCAGCTTGATAGTAAATGTTTATGTTGAAATCTACTCCAGAGAGTATTACATTTTTTTGACCTCTCTTCATATGGGTTTCTTTCAGGAACATAACTACTTGTACACATAGTTAAACATCAAGCAGAGAGGCAGAAATCAGTAGGGAATCAGGCAGGTGAAAAGAACAAAATACCAATATGGTTTACTACAAACCACTTATATAAAAGTTCCAAAATTAATCTTTTCATAAATATGGAAATAAAATCATATAAGCATGAAATTTAAAATTTTGTTATGAGTGGATATCTAAAAAAAATAGAACCTTAATATATGCAGCTTTAAATCACTGTATTCATTTTGAAATTTTGCCTGGTGGAACACATCAAAGTAATTTAAAAAACAAAATCAAGTTTGTTGAGTAAGAATAGGCTTGCAGCATAATTTGAAGCTCAAGCATGGGCCCTGATGAACAGCTGTAGGGGAAAAAAGAGTTTTCAAAGGCAATGACCACCACAACTATGTCTTTCACTCTTGCAACGCACCATAGGAAAAGCAGCAGTCTCTTAAATAACTGGATTCTACATTATACAACAATTAAACATCCTTCACATAGGAAAATGTCCTCTATTTCTAAATTTACATAATAATCACTTTTCCCTATTCAACATCTTTCCCATGATTATATGTGTAAATGCTAAGAAAAATGCCTCAGCCACAATTCAGTTGGTTATGAGTAGATTTTAATATCTAATTAAGATGGGTCAGTATTTCAAAGAGACACTAGTGGARATTAACTGAATGATACAATATATGTCATTGACTCAATTGGCACCAGTATTTTCATTTGGTCTAGAACAAAGTAATATCCTATGCAAGAATTAAAAATGCTTTGATCCACTCTGTCATCTAGAAGAATGTCTTTTATTAATGAAACAGAGACGCCTGCCAGGGTTTTCTTATCACCAGAATCAATGTTGCTAAAKGTGCTATATTTCAGATGTGACCAAACACCCCAGCTCTACTTTTGTTCACTGTGGGGCCCTATTTACAAGACCTGGTCACCTAACATTTTATTAATAGATTTCTGTTGAAGAGTTTCTCTCTTTCCTGWCACGTCACATTGCTGAGCTCTGTTCAGGGGTCTGCAGTGGCAGAGGCCATACACATTCTATAAATAGTACTTGGTCCTGAATATCCTACTCACAGATGTAAATATATGTGTCTTATGAGACTGGTACTGTCTAATAAGTTTGTAAAACACACAGACATTATGGAACTGTACCGTGTTATTATAAAACATTTACATACTAAAAGACTGCAAAACAATAGGATTTCCTTACTATGACATATTTCCCTCCCACACTTGAAAGCAAAGCGAATTAACATATCATCATACTTCATACATCTAACATCAGCTCTTTAATACAGTTTATAAAACACAACAAAAGTTTTCAATCTCAGCAATAAGTCAGGATAAGTGCAAAACAAGTTCCTTACTAAAACCATTTGATGACATATGGATTGACTTTTCAAATAATTAAAGGCTTAATATGCTTGTCATTCACAAATCAAAATCAACTGACATGATAGGCTAACATCTGGAAGCTGGTCTCCTACTGGTGAAATAAAAAGGAAATTCTTTCCACTTTTGAGACTGTCAAAACCAAGGCTMTTGAGTAGGTACAGCCTTAGAAATATTAGTGTATTCAGTATGTTACTACCATTTCTTGTTAGACACAGCTCCTGTTTCTAAAACCTAAGAAATGAGAATGCAGGGACCTTCAGTTTGGACACTGGTTGGTCAGGAAAGGGGTGTAACAACAGTAATTCCTAATTTTCTCTAAGCGTAACAGAGTGGTATCTGACAGTGAAGCAACCATACAGCTCCTCTCCAGAAACTTAAGAGATTATTTTGTTTTCAAAATTAATAGCTATTGAGAATATTACCTTAAGTATTTTATTACTTTAAAGGTTACAGTAAAATTGTATTTACTTATTGTTAAAAAATTTCCACACAACACACTCGTTAAAGCAAAAAATATTTGCATATTCTAYATTAAACTCAAGCTAGGCTAGGGTACTAACAGCCTAGACTAGCATGTGTACAACCCCTCTCATGTGTCAATAAATGCACAATCACTATTTAAAAGCAAAGTTTCAGAACCGATAGTATTCCCAAATTGTCATATTCATTTAAAATCAAGAAATGCTTTTTGTCTAACTTCAAACATTTAATCTAAAAGCTCTTCTTAGCCTGCCTGGTTCCACTTTTTAAGTTTAAAGCCTGATTTCAACCCATTGATACTGAAGGCAGTTTTGCAATTGACATCCTTAAGTTCATCCCCATTTCTCTAACAACAGTTCTCCTCATTTTCTTCCTGTTTATGTCCAGCTTCAAAGGGGTTATAGCTCTGTTTCTTTATTTACCTCTGCTGATTATTTCATCTGCATTGTCATTTTTCCTTTTAAAAAAGCAAAATGAAAGTGAAAGATAATTTCATGATTGTGAGGTCAGGGGAGGAGAGGAGGCCAATGRTCTTCAATTAATTTTTGAACTCTCAGAACCCTACAAAGTTTTCCTCCACAGTCAGTATCCAGCAACAAATTTAAATCTGCTAACAATACCATGGTTTGGGGATTTTGTTATTTATCACCTGACAGGAGACTCTGAGAAAGTCTGTGGAGTACCAAAGAACTCCTGCATCAAAGGTTAAAGACCACTAAACTACATCTTGATTAAGGAAGGGACAGCAATGTAATACTGTGATTTTGCACTGTTTACCTGTTCAGGGACAGTATAAAGYACTAAATCACAATAACTCTGTATTTCCACACTGATGAATGAATTAAAATTTTATGCTATAAATAAACAACAATTTATTTGTAACAAACAAAAATCTTCCCTAAAAACACATGCATGAAATTATTTTTGCATTTCAAAGAAATTTCAAGCAATTGCTAATTAATTCTATTTACCATTATGCTTTTAAAAAACCAGTAGTAACAAAAAACCCCAAAAGCTTAAAAAAATAATTCTGAAATAAAAGAAATATCTTGATTATCCTGACTCCATCTCTTAATAACCTCAAGCCAAAACAAAGTCCCAACATAAAGAATGAGGTTCATGCCTATGTTCCAGAACAAGGAAATAAGTATTTCTGACTCGTGCATTTAGGTGGGCCTGTGTCTTCAAACAACATATGAGACAACCTCTGTCAGGTGCTGTATTTGTGTGTAGACTCCCCATTCAACAAAATTAATATACAATTTGAATAACTGGGTTTGGGTGACAGGTGCAGCTGCTGGCAGTTTTCATGTTTTTTTAAGAACAAACTCTTGGAAGACATTCAGGTTTTAACAAAGCAAATACAACATCTTGGTAACATCAGTGGCCAAAAACTTTAGGCACCTATTAAAACTAACCCTGGAAACAGTCAGCTAGAAAATACTGCTTTTTATTATTTTAATCTCTTATTTTAAAGGCAGGAAGGATAAGCATTCATGGGCAGAGAGCAAAACCCTTACCTACCTCCCAAAAAAACAGTTGTGTTTTCTTTCTATGTTTCTTTCTATTTCTTTCTTTTAAGATTTCAAGTGGAAAAATATAAGACAACTCCCATCTCAGCTTTCCTAGAAGACTAGTGCAAGAGAAAGCAAGACCTAGCATGAAATGACAGCAGCAGATGCAGAACTGCTCAGCCTTTCTTACATAATTTGCAAGCCTAAATGTCAAGCCAGTCAACACTAATAACAAAGTCAGGGCTTCTTAGACTGCCAAGTAAATCTGTACTCTGCCCCACAGGGTGGGAATGGTTTCTTTCAAACTACCCCTAGAATTCAAACCTCTTTCCTGAAAAGGTATTGTTACAACCACTAAAGCACCTCCAAAGTTCTCCATGATACTGCAATAAAACAGCCTTCAGAAGCATATTAAACAAAGTTTTCAGCAGAACTGTATTTTAAACAACAGTGATTTGTGGTGGTTCTGAACATCTGTTGCACTCTGCTATCATTCAAAATTATACAGCAAGCAGTAGTTTGTACAAACAAGATGATTTGGACACCTAAAGCATAAGTAATTTCAGGCTCTGAGTTCCTGTATAAAAAAAATACCTGAATCAAAAGGGTGCTGTTACTTGCCCAACTCTGTAAGAATAAAGCAAATTTTGATGTGTCATCTAACTATTTCGCTCTCCTCATGTATTATTCACAGAGGTTATACACCAAAGTCTGTTCGTATATGCAAATCCCAAAATTTTATCACTACCTGAAGCCTTCTAGAATTAAAAATAAAAGGAGCAGCCTGGCCTATTTCAAACACTTGGTCCTATTTCAACTTGATGTATTGAACTTGTGGGAGGTCAGATAAAGGAAAAGTTATTTTTTCTTCTATTTTGGCATATTCATGACTATGGGTATGGTCACAAAAATTTGTCTTCAATTTYTGATTTACAGAGAAAATCACGTAAGCAAGTGATAAACAACAGAAAAAAGTGTTTGTAACTATCTCACTGCTGAAAACAAGCATTATTGAGTGGCAATGAAAGTGTTTTRATAAGATTATTATTGCCAAATATATGACAAATTTAGTCTCCCAAACTACAAAATGGTAGCAAGACAAAAAAACCAATGTAGATAGTGTATCAGCTAGTATGTCAGCTACAGCTACATTCAAAATATTTAAACATATGAACCTAATAAAACTCAATTCTGAAAAGACATCCTAACTGTGAGGRGTTGGGTGTTCTTTTTGGATGAGGAACTCACCCAGACTTCAAGTCTGTAATCCGTAAACAATTAGTAGCATCTAGTCCTACTTTCCCATTTCTGACGACACTGGAGATGAAGGGTGAAAGTGCTGGAGAAATTCTGTTCAAGGCCACTTCAGGTGACATTTTAGTATGTTCCTCCTTCCTTTTGTCTTGAGCTGCAAAGGGACAGCAAAGGAAGAAAATTAAAACATATCTGACTTACTTGATGTCGATTCACATGTACTCTGAAAACATCAAAAGAAAAAAGCTAAGCATGCAAAAGATCAAGCGTGTAGAGTAACTGAAGTGTGCACGGGTTTATAAAGAAAAAATACAGATAGGTTTTTCCTTCCTACCTCTGCAGCATTCAATGAAGCCTGTTTATTCAGCATTAGCATAAAGCCAGAATTATGTCGTGGGCACCTTTAATTAAGGCCCTATCCCTAGGAGAAAGAGGGCCACTCTGACATTTCACAGCCTTGTCCTTCTCATGGGCATTCCCCATGTCTGTAATTGACGAGTCACACTTACTCCGCTTCCCCTGAAATCAATGGGACTTACAGCAACTGCCATGGGCTCCGGGGTTTGAAACCTCTCCATATGCTCAACTGCAATTTCCAATAGCACTAGTGTGCCTATAATCAGTATTACTTTTATATTATTTCATTAGGTAGCAATTTGTAGGATTTCATGATGCCTTTTAAAGGRTAACACTCTTTCAGTGGTATTATTCCACTCTTTGAAAGGCATCTTCATCTTCCTTCACGTAACAGATCAGAAAGCTGATGTACAACATTTTAAGCACAGCTTTTTCAGAAKTGCTTGCAATTGCATGACTTTATGCTAAGTCAGTCAGGTCATTAATTTGGCACACTTTAAGAACCCGTTGCTTTCTAGGTGAAATGCAGAAACTAAGCATACACACATTTTAACTCATTGTGCCACAAAATGACTACAGTATGTGGACAGCAGACTGTGGGAGGAGAAGTGGGAGAAAAGAAGGGTAAGCAACCTATTAAAATGTTAACATATTTGAAAACATTTCTAGGCACAGAGCTTCATATGACAACTGAACTTGGCAGTTTTGGAAAAAAAGGCTGTAAATGACKGAAGGTAACATAAACTTGCCACTGATATGTGGGGCAGAAGAGCTCATACATAAACCCTCATAATATTTTTTTTTTAAACATTAATTTAACAACACCAATACACATTGCATTCACTTTCTTAAAAATGCTGCATATGGACTGCTGTATTAGTAAGTGTTCTATAATGAGAGTGTGAACAACTCATGGCAATAATTGCAATTTTCTGTTGTTTCTCACACTCAGTTTACAAGCATTAATTAGTTACTAATGGATATTCTACAGAATCAACTAAATCTCTGTAACTGGGAGCAACATTAAATTTCACATTCTGTTGTCATGAAAGCCTTTCACACTGAAGTAGCAGGAAGCAACACTCAAGAGTGTTTGTCCTAGCTATTCAGAACGTATCTGAATAAAGCAAAGGCCAGGCACTTTAAGGCAAACAGAAGGACTAATAAAGCAAGACTTCCTAAAAACAGTAATTATCGTTAATGCACTGGCTCCTACATTGTACAGCAGTGAAGAAGCTGAAGACTAAGTATCCATGCCTTGACACAGAGTGTGTTCTCATACATGATTCCTTTAATTGACAATGGAAYAAATTAGATTTGTTTAGCAAACACAGCAATTTAGCCATTACCTCCGGTTTGCTACTTTTTTACCAAAAATTTCTGCCTACTCACTTTTATTCTTCCCCACAGGGACTGAGACAACACAAGCCCATACTTGACATATTTCAGTGCAAAGTCCAATGGCTTAGACTGAACCACTAATAAAAATTAGTTTAAGCTAAAACACTTTGCACAAGAGGGGTTACAACAGAGTACATACTTCAATCTGCCAGCCCTGCTGTAGGGAAGAGTAATTTCAAGCAGGGGGCAGCTGGACTGATAAGAGCAAGAACTTCTTAAACCACGAGAACATGCTGAAAATAAGCTATCATTCTAGCAATCCTAGTAGTCATGCGTGAAGATCTCAGAACTGTTTCTAATAATGACACATTTTAAGGGGACTGTAAGTGTTATGAGGGTGAAATTGCGAGACGTGATACATGGGGTGATCACAGCTGAACAGATGCACTTTCCAAAATAAACTGTGAGATTCTTTATATTTTTGTTAATAAAATTTGCAGATACTGTCAAAACAAGATTTAAATGACTGTTGGGCATTTTTTCTTATTTTATTGCATCATTTTTTAAAATCACAATACCTTCTATTTAATCAGCCAGACACATAATGCTTAAAGGATTGCTATCAATTAARCTCACTGATTTATTTTGTAAACAAGGAGTTTTACAAACTAGAACACAATTTGTAGAAGTTTTGTAAGTTTCAGTTGTCATACACTTTTTTTTTTCCTCAGTGTAAATTTCCCACAGTACTGGAAAMTGAACACAAACAAACTCAGGCAAATTAAGAACAACAAAATCCACTGGACTGTTTCCCTCCCAAAACAAAACCTTTGAAAGAAGCAAACAAGCTTAATAGTTGAAATAACCTAATAGTTGAATCCCCTTAGATTCAGCTGGCTACCAGTATGACTTCACGGGAATGTTACACAGGCTGCACAGCAACCATGAAGTCCTGGGCACTGCTTTGGGCACCGGAGAGTCCAGATGCAAGATACTCTGTCCTTCTGCCACTGGCCATACAATTACGGGCATTAAGCGAAGTTCAGRAAAGTTTAGGGTGAATATTGTGACGGAGGCTGGGAAGCCTGACAGGACCTTTCCTGTCTAACCCTCTTGACGTGGCGGTCGGTAAGCTGGTTGTGTGGTTTGCACTTTGGGGGTGGCAGGAACAGGTGTCTGGGTTTGAGTGGGGAAAAGAGCGGGCCCACGACCACCGCCTGCTGATGCCGTGCCGGAACACATCCATGGAATGCGATCAGCAATGTGGATCTGCGGAGCCCCGGGAAAACGGCGAAGCTATCTCAGCCCCGGCACGGAAGAACGCTCAGAATTCCAGCGTGGGTAAGGTTGGAAAGAACCACAGTGGGTCATCTGGACTAACCTCCCTGCTCCAGCAGGGTCATCCCAAAGCACATGGCACAGGACTGCGTCCAGACRGTTCTGGAATAACTCCAGTGCTGGAGACTCCACAACCTCTCCGGACAAYCTGTTCCAGTGCTCGGTCACCCACACAGTACGGAAGCTCTTCCCCGTGTTCAGGGGGAAGCTCCCGTGCTTGAGTCTCGTTCCGGGCTGACCCCGGCCCAGCCCCGCTCCCTTCCCAGCTGGTGCCGCCACCCGCGGCGCTGCGCCCGCCCCGCCCCGCCCCAGCGGCGGTGCCAACACCGGCCTCCGCCGGCTCCGAGCCAGAACCTCCCGGCGCCGGGTCCCCTTCCGCCCGCCGCTGTCCCGGGAGGGGCTGTGGCGTTGCTCGCTCCCTCCCGCTCCCCCTGCCCGGCTCGTTCTCCCACCCCTCCCGTCCCGGCCCCGCCATTACCTACGGCGGCCGGAACTCGCCGCTTGGCAACGGCGTGCACGCCCCCGCGCCCGCCGTGCGCGCCCCCGCCCCGCCGCGCGCCGTGCGCGCCTCCGCTCCCCCGCGCCGCCGCCGCCGCTCCCACCCGGGCCGGAGGGGTCTTCAGCGGCCCGACATTGGCGTCCGCCGCAAGTGCCTGTGCGGGCCGTGTCGCCGCGCAGGGCGTGGGGCGGCGGTTCGGTGCGGCCGGAGCGGCGCGGGGGAGAGGGGAAGAAGGAGCAGGGGCTGTCGTGGCAACAGGCGTTTGCCTGGGCCAGCCCTGCCGGGCTAAGGTCCCCTTAGGCAGCCCGTCGCCCATGGCAACCCGAGAAGCCGCGGCGCGGCCCGGGGCGGGTCAGGGTCAGGGTCCAAGGGCCGCCCCGGAGCCATGGCCGCGGAGGTCGTGGTCGTGGGATCCTGTATGACCGACCTGGTCAGGTTAGTACCGGTTGGGGGTTTCGTGCCCGCATTGGGCGGAGCGACCCCGAGGTCACAAGAGTGCAGGGCTTCACGGTGCCCGGGGCTCAGCGCGGGCACGCCGGGCCTCCCCGGGGCAGGCTGGGCCGGGACGCGCYCCTGCCCGAGCTAAGCGGGTGTCACGTTCTCCCCAGGCCGGGATGGCAGAAGCGGGGTCGGCGGCAGGCCCGGCGGAAGGAGCGCTCGGCCCCGGGCAGAGAGAGGGAGTGACCACAGGCACAGGTTATCCAGAGAGGTCGTGGTGTCTTCCATCACTGGAGATATTCAGGAACGGTCTGGATACAATCCTGTACYGTGTGCTCTGGGGTGGTTGGACCAGGTGACCCATTGTGGTCGCTTCCAGCCTTACCCATTCTGGCATTCTGAAATTTTGTGAAGCGCTGCGGCTTGCGCCCGGGTGATGTCAGCTGCAAATAATGCTGTGATAGAAGAGTGTGGGAACGGGGAGAAGTTTGAACCTGTTGCGTGCTGGAGCTTTGATCAGCTGTCTGTGACTCTGCAGAGAGGAGAGACTTGGGTTTGTGTTTTCAGCTGTGCCGGGTGGGTCGGTGTTGGCCTTGGCCAGAGAAGCAGCCCTGGCTGCTGGTTTCACAGTCACCCGCACGGTGAACCTGGAACTCTGATACTCATTATCAGCAGAGGAGTCTGAAGCGATTTTATGAAAGTAAATAAAGCTGATCAACTGTAACGTGTTTAGTTCAAAGCACACATGTCTCCACTGGACAAGGCAGAAAAGTTAATATTTCAAAGAAGCCAAAGTTAGCTCCATGAAACAGTAGGTTGTAAATTGATTACTTGCAGACAGCATTTTGTGTGACACTTTGAAATGAGATTGAGGGAAAGGGGAGAGAGGGAGGGCCTCTCAAGATACTGATATCCAAACATATTAAGAAGTGGATATAGGAAGCCCTGAAAAACATAGCAGTTCTGCACCCCAAATCTATTTTTAAAATTATAAATATGATTTTTAAAGTAATGTCTTAGTTTATCTTTATTCATTTTCTGAGCATTTTGCTTTTCAAATTAAATAATTGGATCTCATTTTTTTTTTCTTCATTTTCTTTTCAGTACATAGGTAAGGTTTGGAAACTTATTTTAAAAATTGAAGTATAGACATTCATGAAAGCTCTTGGTTCCAATGGCCTTTATAGCCAATGGTAAATAACAGGAGAATTCAAGCGAAATTGCAGGAGTTCACAACGATGCAAATGCTAACCCGAACTGGCTGGCTTGTCAGTCGCAGTAAACTTGCAAATCAATCTTTGATTTGCACTATTTTAAACACATCTGTTTCTATGTTACATATGCAGACTTGGTTAAAATAGGAATTATAGTTATGTATCTGGACTGCATCAGCTTTTCCTGCTAGGAATTCTGCAACAAAAAACAAAATCCTCTATCAACAGACAATTATACCAAAACCTGTGGGTCAAGAAAATGCAGAATACTTGATTAGAGGGAATATGCTGAGCAGTGAGTACTGTTTTGGCATAGACTTGAGTTGCAGAAATGATGAAGCCCCATAAATAATCATAGAATCTGTGTCAGAAGGATTTAATGCTTTATATAATTTACAGAACACACTGGCAGTTTTCCAAGAAGAATAGTTGTCTCGTAAGTCAGAGTAAGAGCTGTGGAACTGATCTTGACGTTATGTGTAAATGACCTCTCAGATACTTATGACRTTGCACTGAAATGTGAAACATGGTGCTCTAACATCAAGACATTCCTTTTCCTGTCTATCTAAAATGTGGGGAAAAAAGTAATCAAAAAATTGTGTACCAGTTTAAGCACTGCTGACAACTGCAGCTTTGGGCTTTTCTAGACACTTAAACAAGCAAATGAACACAAAAACTGTGATTTTTTTTTTCTTGGCTGCAAATTTGATCTGATAGAAATGCAGTCATTTATTTGAAGGCATATTAACTGGCCATACTGTAACCAGAGATTACACCACGGGCTGCAGCGATAGATGCTGTTATGCTGAGATTAACTGGTTGAAGAAAAGACATTTCACTTTTCAATCAGCTGAGAAGGTTTCTTATGTTGTACAAATGCTATCACAAGTATGTATCTGACTCACCATTATTAGCCTCTGCTTTAAGTGGCAGTGAAAGGCTTTTTATGAGTGACAACCTAATCTGCTTCAACTGAAAAAGAAGGGACAGCTTCATTCTTTSTGTTACTTGCACAGGACTTCAGGCACTTAATAAAGTAAGAAAAAGAGTGTTTAAATTTAGCTGGCAAGAGTTTAATCTGATTAAAATCTCCATGTAGKACCTGTGTAGATATTGTTTAAATATATCCTGGGTTACAAAAATTTGGGTAAAATTACCAGAAGGTACTAAGCGGTAGGCTTGATTGTGACTAGGTGGAACAGGAAACTATAAACAAGCTTTATTAAATATAAAAACTGTCAGGTTAGGGTTAGAGTTAGGTTCCAGGAGCATAACTGTTGACGGTGTTTGGGATTTAGAGGGGGCTGCATATTCTAGAGTTAAAGCTAGTGTTCATTTCAGCTATAATGAAGGAGCATCGGGGTTTTGTCAGTTTGTCATTTGTGCTGTTTCATTTTATAAAAGACGTWGACACCAGTGACCATGTTACCATGTTAAGTGGCTATCACCCATTTGGAGGACCCTGAATAAATCTGTGTGAGTTACACAGAGGAGGCTGGACATATATTTATATACGTTGTGTTTAATGGGCATATTCACCACTCAACACTAAAGCCTGTCTTTCATAGAAGATAATAATATTGAGACTCTGCCAGGGCTAGACAATGCTGTGTTATAACTCAAACTGGTAAAATAYCCTGTTGGCCCTTTAGGATACAACCATAGCCCTCTGTCTGGAGGGCTAGCAGATCAGGGTCACACTTGAAATGGTAGTGGCAGACTTCAAATGTTAAGCATTCCCTGGTCCCTAGAGGCAAGGTATGGAAAAGCTTCAAGTCACCATTGGACATATGGTAGCCAGATTCACCATGAAAAAGAAATTAGCATATGATGTTTTTACTCAATACAGTAAACTAATGATTTAAAGAAGCATAACCTCTGTGTGAAATGGAAATGTACAGTTTGAAATGTGCTGAATCTTACGTAATGACCGAGACAGAAAAGGACAGGGCTGCTTGGTTGAAGCCAGATACTCAGATGGAATTCTGAGAAATAATCAAATTCAGAAGAAAGKGTAGTGCATCTTAAAATTCTTCTAAAAGGAAGGGGCCCAGTTGTTTGCTTTTAAAACACTGTTCTCATTGGAAATTCTTTTCTCATTGTCCTGTAGCGCTGCAGTGGCAGAATGTGGGTTTTCTAAAGCAAACTTCATGTGATCAAAACAGCCTCACGTACATACATGCAGTAAACCACACTCTTTTGGCTTAATAGGATCGGAGCAAAACATAGTTGTGGTCATAATCACAATCAACACTTCATTGGCAATAGCAGGCAATAGAAGTAGAAAACAAAAACAGCATTATTCTTTATGATCTAGATATCAAACCAGATGGGTACCATCCACAGTATTATTTAAATAGTTTCTCTTCTGACTCGTATTTGTAGACTGGCCGTGGCATTGGCATTTTAATTCATATTAAATCAGGACAAGACTAAACATATAAACCAATGAGAGTCAGACACACTAAAACAATTAGAATAAACAGGAGAAACTTTGGCATGGCAATTGAAAACAGCAGAMGCATAGAACAAAATGTAAAAGGGAAAAACAGTCTTTGGATAGTCACAACAGCCTTTCAGTTTAACTTAAGAGAATAACACCACAGTCCAAATCGTGGAAAACTGCATTTGTTAGAATGTTCAGAATTTCAGGTCTTMATTTTCTGCAGACCTCTTTCCTCTCATCGAGTTTCTTCACTCCCTTTAGRGAGTAGAACTAAAAGTTCTGCTTCCAGCCCCCTGTTGTAACAACAACCATTAATAATCGCTGCAAGTACTAAACTGTTTGTAAGCATACAGCAAAAGTGAAAGACAAGGCAGAGAAAGAATTGAGCTCCCTATAGAGTAGTGTGTTGCTGAACTGCAGTGCACAGCAGTAACAAATGCACATTGGTATAAACATCCCAAACACATCAAAACCTCTTAGGTAACTGAGCACAACCTCTGCTTAGGCCAAATGGCAAAGGTATCTCAATAGTGAGAGTCTGTCTTCCTTTTAAGTCTCTAGCGGTAATTATTGTCTGCTGAAGTGCTGAAGTTAATGACTCAATGGCACATTGGAAATGTCCATGATCCAAAGCTATGTCTGTACTTTCTGTTTTAAAAGTGCAGTATTTGGAACAATAATTGCAGACTTTTTTTTTGTGGGAATGTGAAAAGAAATTTTCTTACGTTTCTTTTAAGTGACCAGAGGAAGTCTTCCATATGACTTCATTTTTTTCTTTACTTTGTTTCCAGATCTCACAGATGTTCTCATTTCCACCATTTCTTAAGCACGTCACCAACTTTCAATGTTTTTGTCTTGTTTTGGTTTTTTTTTTCTCTTCAGTTTCTCCTAGCAGCAAAGTGTTCTAGGATCCCTCAAATCTATTTCATTTGTGTTTTTGTTTTTATCTGTAATGCTTCCCCTGCAGCAGCCACTCCTTATTCTAGTCAATCTGCCATTGCCAGCAGCATGGGAAAGCACAACTACGAAGGAATACAAGCTTAGTCCAGTTGAGGAAATTAATCTTTGGATCCAGTGAAATACATCAAGGCATGAGAGAATGTGTCATCTGTGAATTGTTTCATTTATGTAATAGTGAAAAATCTGGGCTTGATTTCAGACCCCGTGCTGTCTGCCCCTTGTCTCCTTCTCTGACCTAGCTAAGTCTGGGTGCATAGTAAATGCAGGTTGTGCAGACTTAGCATTTTGTTATTCTGCTCTGATCTTAGAGAAACCTAAATGTTTTGAGAAATTCCTGTTTGCCTTCTCTTGTATGGTAGGAAGAGAGCTGCATCTTG